ATTTTGGGGGGGGGGGTCTGATATGAATATCGCTTCGGGTTCCCCGCTCTTTATGCCACTGGATAGCTTGAGTAATCGTCAATATATCAAGGATGATGTCATGTTTGTGAAGATCATCGTCGACTGAACAAGATGATGTAGATTCTTCTGAGTTCATTCTATTTGGTGCGTATGTGTGGGTTTTAGATTATTGTTTCATATTTAGCATTTCGTATTTACCTTGTAGTGCTAGTTTGAATAGGATTATTAAGCTAGAGTGTGGTTCCCTCGATGAGTTCTCTAGCTCGACAACTGGCCTTTGTAGCTGGGCCGCAGGTTCGAGGATTCCTGCCAGACTGTGGTGCCAGAGGCACAGAATAAAGACATAAGCCTGGTTCACATAAAATCGTTAAGCAGTCGCAGACAGTCGCAGACATGTGCCGAATTTTTATTTGAACACAAATGCAGATTCGCGCAGACTGTCTGAGACCGGATCGGCGACGGATCGGGAAAGTTGAACTTGATTCAACTTTCCCGATCCGTCGCAGATCGTTCATATAAAAATTCGGCACATGTCTGCGTCTGCTTAACGATTTTATGTGAACCAGGCTATACAGAAGTGTATCTTCTTATTAAAAGTGCGTAAGGGATTCTTTCAGTCCGCCATGTTCTTAGCAAGTGCCCTAAAGAGTGGCAGTCACCCCCCTGAAAACATATTGAAAATTTAATATTCCAGGGGGGTGAATGCCTCTCTTTAGGGCACTTGCTAAGAACATGGCCGCCAGCTATTTTGGTAAAAAAGCGCCTTACGGTTCGTAATGGAAGTTACACTTCTGTATGTCTTTATTCTGTGCCAGAGGGCAGGTAGTTGCATTTTTTCACAACTGCTCCTGGTTGGGTCATTTACAAATCCCATAGTCAAAAGAATAAGAAGGTTAGGAAACTCGATAGGGACATAGTAGATAGATAGATAGATAGATAGTGTATTTAAAATTCACCTTGCAGCTGGACAGCTGAATTGCTTATTTAAAAGATAGAATATGGATTAATTAGGCATATTTACAAATGGTCATTAAAACGCTTAGTACTAAAAATTACATTAACTTAAGTTACTAGACATAGGAATAAAAGTTTTTTTAAATCTTTCTGTATTAGTTTCGAATCGTTCAAACAGTCTATTGTTCCTAAGTTGGTAAACCGACTCATGTTTGGGAGGCAGTAAATTATGCAGTTTGTGTGTCGGATTGTTAGTAATATTTGTGAAAAGTTTGTTACACATTTCTTCGCGTCTATGGAACAAAGTTTGAAGATTAAAATATTCTAAAGTTTCGCTATATGAGTTCGCGGGTAAAATGATCTTCAGTGCTCGCTTTCAGTGTACCGTCTCAAGATCTTCTGACAGGAAGGATGGGATTGAGTAATGGAAAACCGGGGCACAATATTCCAAAATGGGCCTGATAACTGTACAGTAGAAGTTTACAATGTCTTTCGTACTGACTTCTGCGCGCTTAAGTAAGATAGGATTATTTCATATTTTATTTCCGGATAGGGGCACTGCTCCCAGCAGCCCCCCCCCCCCTCCCCCTCCTCTGCGGGCTTGATGAGAAGGTATTATAATGCAGTGGGCGCAAGAGCAAGTGGCCGGACTTATTTACCCCTTCCTCACACTAGCTTAAATCCCCGGCGTTTGATACCGGTTGCCATATATGGTAAATCCAAGATGGCGTCCTGAAGTGTTGACCAAATAAGGCAGTTAAAAAGCAGAGGGCTTCATATATAAAGGACGAAAGAAGGAGGAAGCGCAATGAGTTATCAACTGTACCGAAATACAACGTTGGGAAACAGCCTACAGGAGAGCTTGGATGAATTAATACAGGTGAAATATTTCATCCGAGTGCATTTCTTTTAGCTATCTATAATTGATAATTCTATAAATATACAAAGTTTTATTACAAATTGGCAAATTATTGATCAAATATGCCTCATGGTTCTGAAACCATATTAAAAAGTTCTTTTTTCTTATAATAGTCGCAACAAATAAGTCCCAAGCTTGCCCTGCAAGTTTTGCTGCAGTTTGATAAAGCTATTAATAATGCTTTGGCATCGCAAGTCAAAAACAGGGCAAATTTCAAGGTACAGTTTATAATATAAATAGAGCAATATTTTTAATAATCTCATTTAGGGGCCACGTCCATATTCATGTTGCCAGGCATAACGTCGAATCGAATAACCAGTACCTACCACCCACCTCAGATAACGTTGATCGTTACCCTGTCATATTTTGACCACTAAAAGAGCTCAAAATCAAAATGGCAACTGAAATATGGTATATAATCAATCAATTTATCTCAGAAATGCATTAGAATGCTTAGGCTTCAATTCAAAGTTATTGACAATTGTACTTGCCTTCGTTGGCGCCAATTAATGTAGGCTCTTTATTATAAAAAGATGAGAAGTTTTATCGCAGAAAAATGTCATGATTCGCGAACACAAATGAACCGGTATTTGACACAAAAAAAGTCACTTCAATACAAAACATTAAATATTTAAACTTCGGTCTGTTCGGATGTAAATAGTCAAACTGCCACGAGATAACGTCGAGGAGTTGACGTAAAAAACTACCCATAACGTCGATTTGAATATGGACGTGGCCCCTTAATAATATACTAGGCAGTGGAAACCCCCACCCCCTAGTGGGCCTAGTCCCGGGATATAGTAGGGTTTTTGGGTCAAGTCCCCCACCTCTTAGGATATGATGCTTACATGAGACCATTTAATGTCAAACCGTTTTACAGGATGTATATATGGGCATTTGCCTATGTATCCCTGGGGGTATCCCTGGCACGGTTCACAGGATGAGAAAATAATGGATCGCAAGTCTCGGATATCAAAACCTCATTTTCTTAAATCATGAAACTAAGGTTTCTAAGAAGGCCTTAACCTGTAATACATGTATAGTGTTTTTATCATTTATTGCAGTTACTGCTGTCTCATTCCTTTTCCAACCAGCAAAAATTCAGTTCAATGCACAAACTAAGGCCACACTTTTTGGCCTCCGTGTATATTCTGCAATTTTTTTATGAACACTGGTAGTGAGGAGTGCTTGCTTGCATATAGTCCTACGAAATCTTACTCTTATGAAATTCAGTTGGCCCACAGGCTTTGGAGTTTGGATCATGCAAAATATAACAGATCCAGATTTCATACTAGTATTCTTACGAAGAACAACTTTTTGAATTCACCATTCTCAGAGAATATTTATCAATTAATTACACATCACCATTGAATGCCGCCAGCACTCTTCCGTTGACAAATAAAATCATCTTGCATTAGAGTAAAATAATAAAGTTGGGTGCATCAGGATGAATTGCCACTTAAAGGGTTATAATCACTAATGTAATGAACACATAATGTAATGAACACATTACAGTAGAGTCCCGGAGTAGAGTCCCGTAGATTTGCAGTAGAGTCCCGACATCAATATTAACTAGAGATGCGTATTTCCTATGGACGAATTTAGGCAATTTGGTTCAATAATTAGTGTGACAACAGACGCCATGTTGGCACGCTGTACATGAGCAGCCCGCAACCACCCAGAGAAAATAGGGTAGCACGGGTCAATCGCGTTGAAAAAATAATAGGGTCGGCAGAAAAAAATAGGGTCGGTCGGGAACCGGAACCACAGGTTTTTTTTTACGCCTTAACTTGTGCATAACAATTACAGGTAAACTTCTTTTTAGTTCCTAACTCATTTGGAATTTTCCTAATTACCTTTGCAAATTCCTTGAGGGAATTTGCAATGTTCCTGTCGGCAGGGCTTTAATTTTATTGCAGCAATTGCCATAGAGGGAGAACAAAATGCTGTGGATCATTGCAGCATAGTATAATTTTTATACTATTATTCACTGTGCATTACTATTTTGATACTTGAATTCAGATGTTCATCGAATCATGCGTAAATTACTATTTTAGTCTACGTTTTCTTCGAAAAAAAAATACTAAAGAAATACGTAATTATGTAAACATGTTTCAAGCTTGTCAACAGTCAAAAAGTAACAATAAAATTAAACTTTTATTACAGTAATTTGAAAAAATGCCGTGGAAACTGCCAAAATTGCTGTAGACAGCTGTTACGTTCAACGGCAATTTTTAATGCCATTGCCATCGATTGATTTCAGGGAAATTCGAGGCCTGTCTGTCAGCTGTTGCAACATTCCAATGCAGAGAAACTTCCTTAGTTTGTAAATTTTCCTAACTTCCTGTTTTAATTTCCTGACTTCCTGTTCTGCTGTGAGCGTTGTCACTGGTGGATTATTTTTGTTAGCCAATTACACTGCACAGAACAGGACGTTAAGAACTTCTAACAGGAACTGAGGAAATTTTAATTGGCTTTTTATACGAACAATAGAACATTGCAAATTCCTCAAGGGATTTTCAATGGAATATTTCAAATTTGCAAATGCAATGAGGAAAATTGCAATCAAGTTAGGAACTCAAAAGAGAAACTCTTGATGTCGTTAACCTGTAACATTCTTTCCAAAATTTCTGACATTTGTCATTATCTCCTCATGTGGCTACCCCCTTGCCTAATTAACACACTGAGTTGCATTATGCTCTCTTCTTGATCTCAGGAACTCAAAAGAGAAACTCTTGACGTAGTTAACCTGTAACATTCTTTCCAAAATTTCTGACATTAGTCATCTCCCCATTTATGCTGCCAGAGTGTGGCTACCCCCTTGCCTAATTAACACATTGAGTTGCATTTTGCTCTCTTCTTGATCTCAGGAACTCAAAAGAGAAACTCTTGACGTAGTTAACCTGTAATATTCTTTCCAAAATTTCTGACATTTGTCATTATCTCCCCATTTATGCTGCCAGAGTGTGGCTACCCCCTTGCCTAATTAACACACTGAGTTGCATTTTGCTCTCTTCTTGATCTCCGGAACTCAAAAGAGAAACTCTTGACGTAGTTAACCTGTAATATTCTTTTCAAAATTTCTGACATTTGTCATTATCTCCCCATTTATGCAGCCAGAGTGTGGCTACCCCCTTGCCTAATTAACACACCGAGTTGCATTTTGCTCTCTTCTTGATGAGTAAAATCATCTGGTAAAATAGACAAGGTAAAACAATAAAGTAGGGCAGACTAAGGTGCAATGCAACTTTTAATGGGTTACAATCATCAAAACTCTAAATCAAGATTCTAGGTTTTAAAATTTTCCCAGGGAAAAATCCCTACACATTCACTGTTAATATCCTGTAAGCCTCTAACAGGTTTAGTAACTCAGGGCTTAAGATTTGAAGTACCGTATCCCGATATCCACTAGATTTCAATTTTGGATATTGGAAATCATAGGCTTTGTATCCCAACGGGATGCTATAGAAATTTCCAATCCAAACTCTTCAATCTGTACATTGAAAATGTTCAACAGCATAGCTTGTTTTGGCACTTTGGTTCTTATTCTTTGTATTTTTGGTCACTGAGGTTTTGGCCCAGCAACTATAGGTTTCTCCTTTGGTTTTTCTAATACAAGTTGGTCACAACAAACTAGGGACACTACATGACTACAAACAGTGGAAACATAATCAGAATACCTACTATGCCAATCATACTTGTCAGATGTTGGGATCCTCCTAGGTAGCGGCGCTGCCTGCAAGTGCCCGAAGCTAACTGCAATCGTTGGGCTTTGTACAGTAGATAATCCAAGTGAGCATGTAATAATTTATTTACTCGTACTCGCTTCACTTGGTAAGTACTGAAGTACTACTAGTTTCTACGAGCGTGAAATGTTAAAGCTGAAACTTGAGAAAAAAGTAAATTCACAATAATTTACTAAAATGTGGAAGTTTTGTAAAAAGAACTGACGGACATAACTCTCTTCATTGGCATTGTCACAATCGTGAACGCGGTGAGTTATAAAAAATGATAACTCTCTAACATCTTCATAATGTTAACGAGAGAGAGTTACCTCAAACATAACTGTCTCATGTTAGTTCAAGGGAACATCGGGAGAGTTAAGAAATTGGTTGTGGTCGTTGGGAAAAGTGGGCGTGGTTCGAACATAACTCTCCGAAATCATAACTCTCCGAGATAACTCTCCACTTCATAACTCTCCGTGCCCGAAGCTAACTGCAATCCTTGGTCAGAAGGTCTTATATGCATGCTTACTGTCGTTCCAATTGAAGTGTTGCTGAAATATTGTTTCAATACATTACCTCGGGCTGACCAATTCATTTGATCAAGTTCCTCGAGATATTCATACACTTCCTGTGAAAGAGCCAATTCCAAGTATTTGATCATTTCTGGTCACTTCCTTTCTCTTTATGATTGGTTAGTTGCACAAACAACAAAGGTGATTGGTGCATTCAAACTATTCAACAGGAAGTTTACAATTATACTAGGAAGTGTATGAATATCTCGAGGAACTTGATGAAATGAATTGGTCAGCCCGAGGTAATGTATTGAATCAATATTTCAGCAACACTTCAATTGGAACGACAGTAAATTAAGTAAGGTAGAAAATTTCAATTTTTCTGAATACATTTTGCAATATTTACCGACCAGATTTAATAAGAATCGTACTCAAGAGTCAAGACATAAATTCATCAAATAATGCCATCAAAAACGTAAAATTTCCTGGTCTGTGGCTGAATTTTATTCATCAGCCGACAATCTTGTCGGCTTGACATATTACAATTTTCGACCAATTGGGTTTGAACAAATTTATAGTGGACACTCAATTTTGACAATATGAAACATAACTCAGCCCTGCTACTACACAAACTATGGGCTATGGTCAAACTATGGTTAAAGCTGGATTAGCGCTAACCCTCGGTTAAAATTTTTAAACCTGCTGTTTTAGTTCGTGTATTTCTGCAGATCAGTTTATCTCAGAATTTCAGAGGAGAAAACTCCAACTGATCCAGACAATATTTCTGATACATAAAATATTTCCAAATTTATAAACAAGCTGTTAGGAAGTTTGCTTTGAATTTTAGGTTAACCTAGCATTAAGCTAATCGGTTTTCGAACAACCGCGGCCCTGGCAGGGTAATAGTGCTTAATCTGCTCATCTCAGGGCTGCCAAATCTCACAATTAGCCATGAGTCTCCAGGTTTTGTGACTGAAGTCGAGGTCTCGCAGATGGACTTACAAATCTCACGGTATTAGAGGAAAATGGCAAAATTCTTCATGACTGTACACCTGATTTCTATTTTTTTTCTAAATATCTAAATTACTAAATACCTAATTAGTGATGCACTGATATCCATATCGGTGTGTCGGTATCGGCTTATCGGTACTAAAATAGAAATATCGGTAATTTTGTTGTTGATATTACCGACATTACAAACTGTTACTAAATATTAATGATCATGAATAGTTATTTTTAGTACAAATAAACAGTCACTGAGTTTGTTGCGTGCATTTGCAGCATTTCATTTGATATTTTCGGAATTTAGAAACAAATGAATTGAATTAAATTCAAAAGTATTAAAGTAGAACTGTCATGATGTCATCTTTGAATTTTGTGAAATGACATAGAATATCGGTATCGGCAAAATATCGTCCTTCAATATCGGAATATCGGTGAATTTCCATATCGGTGCATCGCTAAACCTAATCAATCTACTAACTTGATACTTAAATTATAGTGGAACAGTTTTATAAAAAATATTTGTATTGCCTGCAATAGGAAATCCTGTGACCACTGTGGTTACTCTAGGATTTATCTTAATTGTATGTCTTATCAGTCTTAAAAGACATATCGCTTCAAAAAGCATTGCAACAACACCATATATAGGACAATCACAAATGACAATTTTGTTATTTTCCCCTATTTATATTGCAATCCTTTGCACAAAATGTTGAGGCCTAAACCCAGGTTTGGCCCACTGTGGCCTTCGTACAACCAGTCCCTGGCCATTGACTAATATCATTCTGTGTCTTTCATCAGGGAAGTTTAAATGTCTACAGATTTTGTGACAATGTGTGGACATTCGTACTGAACAATGTTGAATTTCGAGAGCTTCCTGATACTATTAAAGTTGACAAAGTAAAAGTGGTTGCTTGTGATGGAAGAGGTACAGTATATCTTCATCATTTGGAATGTTGCATGTTCATTTTTAACATAGTGTAATTGGTATAATCTCTATATTCAGCATTATTTATTATTTCATGCTGTCCAAAATTACTTGCAGCAGAAACCAAATTGGATTACGACAAAATCAGCTTTGCGGTAACCTGGGTTTGCGACTTTACCATAACAAAAACTGTTTGAAGAACTTAGAATTTATTATAGTTTTATTTGTCCAAATGAAATGTAAGGTAACCCAATTAGATCACAGAACGCATAAAGAAAATTTAAATATTACAGTGACTGTTAACACAGTTATTAATTATAGAATTAAGAGATTACGAACTTACATTACTTTAGGGAAACCAAATTAGGTTGCCGCAAATCAAAGTTTGCGGTAACGCAGTGATAACCCAGGTTTGGTTGCCATAATTTTGGACAGCCTGTGATTTTACTCTCACTGTCTAACACCAGACAATTTTACTTGTCAAGGGCAAGCACTAGTGCATAATGGGTAAACTGCAAACTTTTGTATGTGGGGTGGCCAACTTCCCCTGCCCAGAAAATTTTGAGAACTTTATGTTATGCCATTTCCAGCCAATTCAGGGATAAAGGATAATCACTGAAGTTTATGGGCATATAAATTTCCTACTGAAAACACTGGCAAGCAGTGGCAGATGACACTTTACGAAATATTTGGGGGACGAATTACAGTAGGATGCCAACATATGACCACCTTAGTTCTTCAACCCATTGAGTGGCAGTACTCTCCCCCTGACGAGTAAAATTGTCTGGCTTTAGACAGTAAAATAATAAAGTACATGTAGGGCGCATTGCGTCCTGATGCGCCCTACTTTAGTATTTAATATTTTACTCATCAAAAGAAGAGCGCCGATGCTTAATGGGTTAAATGGCCTGTCTGCCCATGTGTCCAGTTAACCCATTGAGTCGCATTGCATGCGCCCTACTTTAGTATTTTACTCTGTCTAATGCCAGACAATTTTACTCGTCAAGACGAGAGGGCAGGCGCTTACAGTTGATTTCACATAAGTTTTCCCTGAATGTTGTGAACTTCGTTCCGAACTTCGTTGTGAAGTCAAAAGTTCATATTGAAATTCACAAGACGGTTTGTAAACGAAGCCTCTGATTGGCTTATTTTTGTTCAGGGACCAATCAGAGGCTTTGTTTACAAACGGTTTGTGAATATTATTATGAACTTTTGAACCTCACAACGAAGTTCGGAACGAAGTTCGCAACATTCAGGGAAAAGTTATGTGAAATCAACTGTAATGGGTTAAACTTTTTGCCTTTCATGCAATATATTACTTAATTTATAGCCTACCAGTGCCTTTATGGTTAGGAAACTATAGACATTCATTCAAAGGCTTTCAGAAATTATTTGGGGGGGGGGGGGGGGGGGGTTGCCACCCTAGTGTCCAAAAGTGCTGACAACTATTGTGACACAGAACGTATATTAGTAAAACTTGAAATTCCCCATTTACAGATCTAAATCTGAAACGCCGAAGGACCTTCCTCGAAACATGGGAATTTATTTTTATGTTAATAAAAGTTGTATTCTTCACTATCTGCTGCAGGCCCCGTTCAAGATTTAATTATGATTGTAATATTAATTTCTATCAGGGGCAGATCCAGGATCATCTGCATGGAGGGCTGCAGGTTTTCCATGGGGTGGTACACGAGGGAGCCTTACTGCCCACTCTCCTTTGGCTCTGCAGTCTGCAATGCTACTATCCCAACATTACCATTATTTGAGATGGCCGCATCTGCGTGTTCGCCGTTCTGTTACGTTTTACATTATCTTTTCTTTATAAAGTTATATCGGCTTTTTATCACGTATGCGTGACTGGACAGTTGCTGTAGTACACAGCACAGTAAAAGTGCAGTACACTGTGGACTGTATATTTGAAGATATGGCTGTATAACAACCTCGACATTGATTACATCAGGCTTGCATGGAATTTCCCTAAAACGTCTCCACGGCAATACTGTCAAAAACTGCAGTAGAGCACAGCAGCTCTCTGGGGCAATATTTGCCAGTTCAACGGCAGTTGACATTGATCTGTCATTTTTATCAATGGACGGAATTACGTACGGAAACAAGTGCACTAATTTCGTGTTGTTAATTTATTTCCAATTTTCATCATTCGTTGTTTCTCATATAATTTTGATTTCAATATGTAAATTCCAACCTTGGTTTACATATTTAACCATGACAGTGAACTAAAACATTCTGAGTATTTTCTTGTAAGCTCACAAATCAATTTAAATTATTTGTTTCAAGACGCGCCAACAGATACCACTGATCGTTATTCGAAAAGCATAAATGTATGGTCAAGCAGATTTTTAGGGGGGTGCTGGACTTCTCTAGGGGTATGCTAGACACCACTATAGGTGGGGTGCGCACTCCCCAGGATCCCCGTGGTAGATCCGCCCTTGGTTTCAATTATTTGTTGCTTCGTCTTCTACTAATTACATCATATTTCTTTCTTGTTTTTTACATTATAGGTTCGAGTGATGCACAGACATAGCTAGAGAAATGGGTAAAACCAAATATTAGTTCTTAGCCATGGTGTAGAATTGTTATGGTCACTGACTTTAAGAGATCAACTTAACATGGTTGAGGGAGTGTAGCAAAGATTCTTTTACTAATACCAACATTCTTAATGCACGAATATCTAGGCATATGGAGTACATGTACTTAAATTCTATGTAAAATATGTATGTTGTGAAGTAATGTTTAGGGGTGCACAGGATAGAGCATTTACTATCCGGCCGGATACCTGATATGCCGGATAGTTGAGAAATACTGTATCCTGCTGGGATACAAGAAAGATACAAAATTAAATAATTTTACAATAAATTTTATTTTTAATCTTTCAAGGATAAAAAATAATTTTATATAATTATTTTCATTGGTTATAAAGTGATGGTGATTATAAGACAGATATATATTGACTTGAAATGATAGGAAAGCACCTCACAGTGCAACTTAGATAAACATGCATAGTTGGAAAAGCCTTACTCAAAAAGTTCAAATTTTAAAACTACTTTTTCTCATTTGCAAGCGAGCATGAAATATCTTGAAAATATTGCCCACTTCTCTACGACCATTTCAACCATTTTGAAAATAAGGCCGGAACACCTTAAATGAACAATATTTGGCATCCGACCGGATATTTTAGATACAATATCCAGTGCATCCCTAGTAATGTTTAGTGTGAATAGTTGTGGATTTTTGTTAACTATTAAATGCAACAAAAAATATACAAATCTATATAATGGCAAAATAATTTTTGTTCATTTTGTTATAAGCACTACCAAGCCATGACAATAGTCTGCTTTGTACACTGTATGAATCAGTGTTGTAACGAATCACCCAAAGGTCGAGGCACAAGTCGAGTCATTTCACTACCAAGTCGAGTCATTTCACTACCTGGTCGAGTTGAGTCAATGGCTACACAAATTATATGCTGAACAAAAATGCCTTTAAAATTTCCCTACAAGTGGAAACATGCCTATCTGCATTGAGAATTACTTTTTATTTTTTCGAGTCCTTTCAGGACTCTTCCCAATCTATTCAACTACAATAGTTTTGATGAATTTATCCTGAACAAGTTGTAGGTAAGTTGACTCGAGTAATTTACGGCAGAAATCAACAAGTCCAGTCATCTGGGGCAGGGCTGTTGAATATTTTTCACATTCAAATCGAGTTGCAGAAAATTGAAGACTCGTTACAACACTAGTATGAATGAAATACTAATGTGAGGTTTAGGTACTGTTAAGCTGGCACACATGTTTAACCAAAAGTACAGTTGCAGATTCCACCTTGATGCTTTGATTACTTCTTGGTTACTTGTTCCACTTTTTTGGTCAGAACATTCTTTTCGCACAACGAACATGGCAGTCACATTGTCTAGTCTTCATCATCATCATCTTCTTCTTCTTGGTCCACTCCAGCTTGACTACTTGAGATCAGTGAGTTACTAAAATAAAATAAAACTCTTGTTTCAAATTACGATTAGCATTATTGTAGATATGATCAAGTGCGCTTTACATCAAGTATTATATGCTTACCTAATTACATACTTAGCCTAGATTATTTTATCTTTACAACAATTGTGATTATTATTATTATTATTAAGTTTGTCACAAATGTGAAAACATTACAACAATATAACACTACAGTATATGACATGTGTGACAGGAACAAGGAACAGAATTTTCATCCCAATTATTACCTCATCCCTTTGTTAACTATGTACTAACATATAGCTATACTATACTAAACGTCACTTAATTAACAAATATTTACACTCAATACAAAACATTCAATATATTAATAGCTAATACTAGGAAGATTGTATGTTATTAATTTGCTATTATACAAATTTATTACGCGTGTTCTAAATGAAGTTAGAGTATTAGAAGTTTTTATGACTGGGGGAAGACTGTTCCAAATTTTTGCTGATCTGTTGAAATAAGATTTTCTG